GGAGGAGACCTGTCACGGTCAGGTTGAGCGGTCAGCAGCAGCCAGCAGCAGTAGCGACACGCCAACCAGCGAGAACTACTATGAGAGATCAACCCAGATCTTCAGCCGGCCTATGAACTATACCACAAAGTAGCTGTCCCAAAACCACACATTCCTATTGAAATAAATCACGTAAATCCATATCTGCTGTTGTCGTATTTCTTTCTTGCAACCATACGGTTGTCTATAATAGACTTCACTTTTGAAATTGAAACCAACTACACTCTTCCTTTCCTGGATATCATATTACATAGAAATAATAACGAACTCAATTTTGACGTTTACAGAAAGGTTACAAACAAAAATATAATTTATTGTATGGCATAACAGTATATGAAATCTCTTTGAGCACAATGCATATTTGGTATTCCTTTCTTCTTGCTATTCTAGTCCTTCCTTTCATTGTGTTAAGATGTTAATATATCAAGGATACACTAATGTCCATAATGGCGAATTGGGAACTGCATTGGGAACTGGAGTAATCGGTGAGTGGTGAGTGAAGGGAAATGTTTTGAATATGTCTAAAAACTATACTAAATTGATTTTTCTTTTCATATGGATTATCTTTAGGCTATTATCTTTCAAATTAAATCAAAATTTAACTTTAAAGAAGATATTTAAATTATTTAAAATACGTTTTTGCTCTTTTTGCTTTTTTTTAGAAAGTCTTTAGGAAAGAAACGCTATTTTCAACACAATGACATTACCCACATACATACCATATTAAAACACACCCAAACTTTATTTTCTACTGAATAACAGACAATATTACAAACATGCCAAAAAGATTCCACAGGACAACCCAAACCGTTTAAATCAAAGTGACCATTGGTTAGAAATTAATGTGTAATATTTGACCAATTTGAGAAAACTAAAACTCTGTTTTTCTCGAACTTACTTTCGGAAAAAATCTCTTATAAAACCCATAAATCTCGACTTTCAGAAAGCATAAATGTGACTGTCTCTAAGCCGTTCAAAATCAGGATAAGACGTGGTGACATAGCTTTTTCCTCCCCATCCCCACCAGGGTATGTTGAAAGAAACATATGTCGGTGTCTTCAAACGAATCATCTCCAACAACAACAACAGAGACGGTTAGTGAATCTTCGCTGACGATCAAAGACTTTTCTTAACCGAAGATTTTTACTGTGGACCAACTACTAAAACACATTTCTAAACTACAGCTTTTTACTGTGAACCAATTACTAAAGGTCTTTTCTAAACAGCAGGTTTTTCTGTGGACCAACTACCCAAAGACATTAACTCAACTGCAGACTATTTTTACTCCTTTTTGACTCTTTTGAATTTATGTACATATCTTTGCAAATACAAATGATTTATTTAACAGGCATGAGACCATGTTTTCCTTTTTTTTTTATTTTATTACTGTTTCGAACGTTCGTATTTTTAATATAAAAAAATACCTGGACGATCGAATTTCTTACAAGTTCGTTGTGGTAACTATTTTTAAAATTCCTAGATGAGTTAAATAACAATATTAAAAATATAATATTTCTCCGTCATAGATCACATTCATGAAAAATTTTATAACTTGTATATTTAACCTTGGAAGTTTCTAGAAATCTGGTAGTATTCAAAGTTAGAACACTGTTTTACTGTTGCTAATAACACTGATAATGGTGGTGTGAAGGAGTGATAGAAAAGAAAGAATATTTTTTTCATTTTGCATTTCTCCATTATAGGAATTAGTATATACGTGATATATTATGACAAACAGACGTAACAGAATAACTGAAAAGAAAGAAATAACAAACATGCATTGTTCTCAAAGAGATTTTTTATACCGCTATGTAATATATATATATATATATATATATATATATATATATATTTGTCCCACACAGATAAATTATAACACGTGAATACAACAAGCAGTGTGTCAATGGGCTAAAATAGAAAGTGTCTTACTTGTAAAGTCACCCGAAGGGAAAACGAGCAGGCCAGTGAGGAATCCACATCGTCTCACCAGTTACATTCAGGACACCTCTATATAACCGGTGAGACCATGTGATTTCCTCTGTTTTCTTCTCAGTGTCCCACAAGAAATATAAACTATTTATTTTGTGTGTGTGTGTGTGTGTGTGTGTGTGTGTGAGAGAGAGAGAGAAAGAGAGAGAGAGAGCCCGCGCCCTTCAGGGGTGGGTCATGAAATACTTAATTAGAACAAGAACTTAAACCTAGAATAAAAAGCGAAAACTTCATTGCTTTGGAAATCATGGAAAAACTAAAATAACAATTGAATAACATAATCAATTTTCAACATTCTAGGTTAGAAAGGGTAATACATTTCCGAGAGTAATGTAAACATTTAGGAATTGCTGCATAAAATAACTTAGTTTGGTTTATTTAATCAAGTATGTTGAAAAATGAGTTAAAAAATGTCACGCCCATTACGGAGAACCAACTATTTAAATGTCTTGTTTAAACTGCCGCCTTTTCGGTGTACCAACTACCTTAAGATAACTCAACGAAAGACAATTTTTAATACTTTTTAGCTCTTTTGAATTACTGTATATATGTTTGTAAATACAAATAATTTATTTAACACACATACTCATAGTTTCTTTATTTTTATATGTTTATTTGTTTTAATCATTTCACTCCAGGCAAGGCGGGAATGCAACTAGTACGTAAGGGGTTACAGAAAATGAAAGTGAGAGAAAAGACTGGGTATAGGGGTGTTGAGCAAAGGATAAAAGATGAAGACGATAGAAGATGGAGATTGATGTTTCATTTAAATTTTTGAAGATTGTAGTTATCAGGGAAGCAAGTAAACGGAAGAGAGTTCCACTGGCGAGAAATGCGAGAAAAGGAACTGTTGGAGTAGAAGTGGCAGTTAACTATTTCAACAGTAAAAGGGTGGGACCTAGATGCCAATCTAGTAGCACGTTTAAGTTCATGTAGTCGGGGCACCAGGGAAAATAGCTCGTCAGAGCAGTTGCCATGAAACTATTTGTAGAAAAGACAGAGGGAAGACACATCACGTCTGTGAGAAAGTGATTGGAGTCGAGATGCCAAGTCAGGATCAATTACATTGCAGATACTTCTTTGGATTTTATCAAGAACCTTGAAATTCATAGCAGGAGCACCAGACCAGATATGGCAACAGTATTTAATGCACGGATAAATAGTGGATTTCTAAATGTGCAAGATGAACTCTGACGGGGAAAAACAACTTTCTGTCACGACACAATGAACCGAATTTCCTTGCAGTAGATGCAGTTGTTCCACTGTAAGTCAGTTGAAAAACGTGAGGTCAAGAATGTGCAATGTGACGCTCTCCAGGAGCCTAGCATCAGCCATGCTGATGGTGAGCAGGGAAATTTCTCCGTGGTGATTAAATGAGAGTAGTTTCGTTTTGGAGGCATTAAAATTTACAAGCCACTTCTTGCATCAGTTAACCACTGACTGGAGATCCTTTTCAAGATCAGGTTAACTTTATCAGTGCTGCCGGATTTAGTATTAAGACAGGAGTAAATGACAGTGCCGTCTACATAGATGCCAACTTGAGAACTGATGACATCAGGGAGATCATTGATGAAGATCAGAAACAGTGTAGGACCCAGAATAGAGCCTTGGGGAACTCCTGTGTTCGCATGGAAGGAATTGGAAGAGAACCCGTTCAGGACGACCTTCATTTCACGATTTGATAAGAATGATTGGATTAAACCAAATAATCATCCTGTAATACCGTAACTTTGAAGCTTACGTAGAAGACCAGCATGCCAAACCCTGACAAACGCCTTTTTTAGATATCTAGGGCCAAAGCTTGAGCTTTGCCGTTATTATCAAGTGCGTAATATACATATTCAGTGATGGCCGTAAACACATCAGCGGTAGACCGGGCAAAACGGAATCCATATTGTCAGAGAGTAGGTAAGATGTTTAGTTTAACCATTCAGCATTGATTAAAGCCTCCAATACTTTGGCGAAAAGCGGTAGGAGACTAATAAAACAATAGTTAGAGGTCAAAAGGTTATACTGCAGGAAAAAATCTGCCTCGTCAGTCATGTAACGAAAGATACATGATCACCTAAGCGTTTATCATGCATGGCATAATTGACTGAGATAGAAAAAAGCAAATATTGATAAGGTAGCGTGAATCACAAAGCATTGTCCGGGGCCCCCAATCAGGCTTGGGTCCCTCCCCCGTCTTGGGATTCAGGAGTAGTACGCTCCGGCTATCTCGTTTGTTGATTTTTCAATTTTTATATATTTGAAATATTGGCGAAAAAAAAAAAAAAATGAATAAATAAAAAATGAAAACACTTTTTTAAATTTGTTTTTGATCTTTGATTAATTTTTTAGAAATGTTCTTCTCATCTTTTTATTCGCCACTAAAACACGATGTGAGTTTATTTATTGGTCGTCATGCAGCTTGACCTTCTCTTCTTAGTAATAAAAAACATTCCGATGTTCTGGTTAACAGGAGTCATTACTCGACGCCAAAAGGTGAATATTTTATATGCCCTGTCCAGAGTTGGGTGGAAGGCGTCTTACCGCGAGAGTTAATCGCTGGCAGCTGAGACAGTCCCTAGAGGAGAAATGTCGACGGGTTTAAGTTTTCTACGCTATTTTTTTTTTTTTTCGCTTTTATTTTATTTTATGCGGATACTTTTATTTTTATTTAAATTAATTTCAAAATCAGAATTCCTTCTTACATGCGACGATAGAGTGCATTTAAAAATACCAGCGTAGAAAATGACTTTAAAAATGTAACTTCTTTTTCACAGTACGGGTAATGCATAATGATGAAAAGTACATTTCAGGCGTACAGAATAAGAGAATAGAATTTACGAACAGAAATTCCTGTAATCGAGAATTAGTCAGAACCGCGCACAGCTGCTGCTGCACACTTTCACTCTCCTGCTCTCTAATTCTGTTACGGTGACCCTGGTTGTGTCGAGGTTGTATGGTAGATTTCGCTTTCTTCTGCAAACATGGCACTTGTCAAACTACTGCAGAGGTCTTTAACCTGTCATACATATTTTCGTCAAGTTTTACCGCTTTCTTTTGTTCAAATTCCCTATCAACAAACAGCAAGATACCCACCACAGCAAAGAAACAGTTACCACCACCACGATCATCATCAACAACAGAACAATGACAACAATTCTGCCCGTCACCATCTACCCCACTGGTTATTTATCGCTACTGGGACTATTGCTACTCTTGGTAAAAGAACTATTTTTTGTTTGTTTTTATTTATTAATGTCTAGCTAGTTTATTTCTTTAATATAAAGCGAGTTTACGGCGAAAAAAGAAAAATGTTTTTATCTTGAAATGAATGATTCTTTCGCTCTGCTTAAGTTTTTGCCCCCTTCAATTTTTAAAGTTTAAAAATCGTACCAAATTTTTCCTTTTTTCCCCCCTTTTTAATAATTCTATCACATTTTGCGTCATCCATTTTTAACGCAAAAAATATTTCTATATAATTTCCCTGACACTTAATTACTATTGTTTTGTTTCAAATTAAACTTTTTCTCTTACTTGCTGTGTTTCGCCTTTTAGTTTTTTTAGTTTTTTTTAATTTAATCAAAAACACCAAAGTTAACAAAATATTTAGGAAAAAAACGAAAACGTATCAATTGTTTTTTTTTTTTAATTAAAACTACCAAGAGTTTAGTGTTTGAATTAAAAAAAAAAAAAAAGAAAAACGTAATAATTGTCTCTCACCGCACTAAAAAAACTAATAAAAGAAAAAGTCAGTCATATTTATTTGCCAGTTTAACTTACTCTTAGTCTTAAACTTGTTCTTGAACGTTTTTTTTATTTCAATTTGCAATCCAGTTTTAATATTGTTAATAATAATAATAATTTAATATTGTTAAATAATATACATAAATAAATCGTAATGTTTTTATTTATTTAAATATTTTTTTTATAATTTCGTGTCTTTTAAATTGGTGTCATCGCGTTTTTTTTGTTCTGTCTTTTTTTTTTTTTTTTTAACTAAATGTCCTGATTTAAATCATGTTCCTGTCTTTTTTAAATTAAAAAGATATAAAAAAAAATTATTTTTAGAAACTTTTAATGTCATTTTCGTCTCTTAGTTAAAAATGCGAGTTACTGTTTCGATAAAAAAAGTAAAAAAAAGATATCGATATTTGTTTTTTATTTTCCAATTTTTTATTTTTTTATCTTTCAAAAAATGAATATCTATTTCCCTAAAGACATGTTTTTTTACTAAAACATGTCTTGTCAGTTTACTTTAGGGAAATCCTATCTTTACTGTCATGTGAACGGGAATGAGCTCATTACAAAAAAAGTCAGTCTTTTTTTTTTTTTTTTAAATTAAAAAAAAATGAATGAATGAAGAAAGTTGAAATATTCTTTTCAGTTGAATGAAAATCGTTTTAAATAGTTTTGTTTGATGCATCATTTCGCGTCGTAAACATTTCATTATTTTATTTCAGAATTGATTAGGGAGTTACAATTTGAAATTTGCATATTTTGTTTATTTTAAAAACGAACCGCTTTACGAAAAGGACAGGTAGAAAATTAAAACCTGCTATATAACATTCACTGAATAATAAATTCAATAAAAAAAAAAAAAAAAAAGTATCTTTTTTAAATCGTAGGGCTGTCAGTCCTACAGAACCGCAAACGGCAAAATGATTCCATCTTCTTTGTCATCATTCGACAGACCAGGTGGAATATAAACAAGTGTTGTGTACTGATAGAAAAATGCTCCTCTCAAAGATCATCATAATTTAGAGAAACAATTATTCTTTTTAAACACTTCCTCTGAAAAATATGTAGATTATTAATATTAAAAATAAAAACTCATGAAAATCAAAAGTGAGTTTCTGCCATTGGTCAGAAAACCAATGTTTTCTGTTTGTTAAAAGTTATGATTTGAGATTAGAGTTGCTTTCCTTTACTAATGTAATTTAGTTACCTAACGTAACGATGAACTCTTTTTCAGGTAAAAAAAAAATATTCGCAATTTTTCACTTTTATCTTTTAGAAGACCTATCCACTAAAAAACAAAGTGAATAACACTTGTTACTAAATGGCTAATTTTAGTTACCCAACAATTTAAGCCCAATATTTTCTTTCTAAAAAGGGGAGATCAGGTTGCATGACCGATAAATATAGTTTTTTTTTTTTGTTAATGAGAATAAGATGTGGTGTGGGTAACAATTTAAAAATTCGTTGAATCTCTTAAACTTAATTTATCCCAAATTTTAATAATTTATTGTAAAATTACTTATCGCAAATAATTCACCCCAAGAAATAATTTTTTTTTTTTTTTTTTTTTTTTTTGAAAAATTTTAAATATCAAAATTTGTTTAGCTTCTTACCTCTCAACAACTCCACCCCTCAGAATGAAAAATTACCAAAAGGATCAGGGAGTTATTCACATTTCGTAAGTGCGGATGATTTGCGGGTACTTTTACAAGGAATTTTTTACAATTTAAAAAAGAAAATTCGTTTTTGGCCTTTTGGTTTATTTATCGGGGTGAGCGAGAATAATACAGACCCCACACTTAACAATAGCGCACCCCGAGTCGCTAACATATCGTAAGGATTATTAAACGGAAACCCAACTGAAATGCAATGGAAGGGTCTCACTCTGGGAGAATTTGGTGTGAATTTTAATTTTTTTTGGGGGGAATTAATAAAAAAAATTCAATTCTTTTAAAGCACTTTTTATTTTATTTTTGTGAAGTTTCATTGTGTGTGTCTTCTTCCTTCTTCTCTCTCTCTTTTTTTTGTGTTAACTTATTCATAATTATATTGTTGACAGTAATAAGTACTTACTTACTCACAGATTTTTTAAGTGCTACAAAGTTACAGGGAATTGTAGAGAGCCATGATCAGCAACGTAACTGAAGGGACATGGCACATAAATATTTAATTTAATGCCCCATGTACAAATCAGTTGCGTAACACACCGTAACAATTTTTTTTTTGTGAATGAGTTTGTCTTACTCTCGTTTCCTCTTCCGTGAAACTGAAAACTAAAAGTGAAAAAGTGATCGACCCGATTTGATGACACTCTCTACACCACTTTAAGAAACAATTTTAAATGCATAAGTAATTAAATTAAATCCAGTACCAAAACAACCACATTTTTATACAATCCCATAAAAAAAAAAAAAAAAACTATCAACAATTTTTACTATTTTCGTGGATTGTTGTTAAAGGCAAGTCGGCCTGTTAATGTATTTTCGTCAGTCAAATCGAGGGGGGGGGGAGAAAAACTAACAACCAAACAAACAAACAAACGGACGAGCATCAACGACTCTTTATTTTATTCTCCTCTAGAACCGTCACCATTTAATTTTTATTCAGCTTTATTTGCATGAACATAACTCTGTGCAATTCATGTTTACGCAGAATTATTTTATATACGGCACGACATTTTTATTAGTGAGCCTTCATTTTTTGCTATTTTTAAAAACTGAAGTGGTTTAGTAAATTATAATAAATTTTTAATTAATAATTACTATCCTGTTTGAACTGATTTTATTGATTGAATGAAAGCAAACCTTTTAGTTTATTTTTTTATCGGATAAGTAACCAAAACAATGCAACCTACTTAACGAGTATCGTTTGAATAAAAGCCATTCTACTGGAATAAAGTCGTTTGGGAACATGTTTCAGAGAAGGGTGGAATAATTAAATTGGAGCTGACTCTATGGCCTTTCTTGCAATCATACCTCACTCATTGAGAATCGTGACGTCTATGCAGCAACAAAAGACCTCAAAAATAAATTAGAATGATACACACACTCAACTTGTACGTATTCTAAAAAAATTCTTCAAGTAAGAAATAATAAAATCAAACGTGCCATCTATGAAAAAAGGGAATATTCAAAAACATAAAACAGTTCAAAACAAAATAAGAAAGGAAATATAGCCATATCAACTTACTAAGTTTAGTTTAGGAACCTCTCTAAAGTAAAAAAAAAAAAAAAAACTTAAGGTGACAAATTAAATTTCTAAGAAATTTTAGGTACTGCCACAGACTTATAAAAGTAAAACCCTGAAAAACGTATTTTAAATAATTTAAAAATGCTTTTTCTTTTTTTAACTTTAAATTTCGGTTTTACTTGAAATATTTCCGCAAATAAAGTTTTTAAGACATAAACTTTAAAACATTGACACGTTCACTCATCGAACTGCTGTTAGTGTTACTGTTATAAAATAAAAAAACAACAACACTCTTCTTAGTCTTAAAAATCCAATATTTATCCTAGACTACAGATATGTTTCGAAGTTATTTAGTAAAGTTATGGATTAATTAACTGGATTTTGTAAAAGTAATTTTTAATAAATACATGTGGGGTTAGAGAGGTTTAAAATAACAAATGCATAATTACATCCCCCTATGAATTGCGGGAAAAAATAGCAATTTAAAGAAATACGGAATAGTAGCAGTAATCAAGACATTGGTACTTGTTTAAAAAGAACATTCAACCTTTTTAAACCAATAGTTTAAAAATATAATTTTTAATGCAGTTTTATGAAACTTAGTAGAATGAATAATTTTATTTCTTATATTAGAATAGAAGTATTTTTTTATGATACGTGTAAATTTTAAAAATAAATACATTGCTTTTATTTTTTTTTAATTATTTTTGTACCTGTTTGATGTCATAAAATTTCACCCATTGTGTTAGTGTTATTGAATTACTCTTTTGAGTCTTTAGGGAAAAGTAGTCAAAGGTAGTAATTCAGAATTATTTACTTTTCAAACATTCATACCGAAAATAACAGTCGCAAAAATGAAAAAATTTCAAATTCTTTAAAGGTTCACACTCTAAAATGGCATTAAACTTTACTTTTTTCGATTTGTTTTTAATCATGTCCTTATTTAATAAAAAAAAAAAAAACCCTCTTCTGACAAATGGCAACAAGGTGAATTTCAAAATTGCCCTAAAAAATACAATTAAAGTTATTTTTTCTTTTTTTTTAAGAGTAATTAAGTGTATGTTTTCTATCAAATGTGAAAGAGTTTTTTTTTAAAAAACATTTTTAAATTCTGCAAGCACCAAGAAAAATTTATTTTATGGGAAGCTTTGACAGTGCTAGGACCTGCAAAATCATAGGTATATATTTACTACATGAACTAAGCAAAATAATAGATAGAATTAATACAGGACTCTAGAGGGATGACGGTCTCATAATCTTAAACTATAACAAACAAAACACAGACAAAACTA